TCATTTCAAAAGCACTTGTAAAGCTGGCCATTTTCCTCACTGACCTCTGTATCCTTGCTCTTCTGTTTGTTTGACTTTTTTTCTTGATGCTACTGTTGCCTTTCCCCTCTCGGTTGAATGCAGAGTGCTTACTTTCATTTTCCCTTTTCCCCTCCCGCTGTCTTGATACAGCCTTGTTACAAGCATTCCTGAGCTAAGTTGGTTACTTTACTGTTGGTTGGTTGCTTCCTTCATTTATACCATGCTTATGAGATCATTCATAATAGGGCTGTCCTCCTGGCTAATTACCCTCTTGCATGATTCAAGTACAAATGTAGGAAAAAAACAGCTGCCTTTTATGCCCAAGATTGGTCTTTGTATTTAAAATCAGTGTAGAGTATAACTCTGTTCTGAAATTAACTTATTTTAAGCAGCTTTCAGCCTTTTTACAAGGACCTTTATAATTTTGCCTTCAGTATAATATGACGCAATGTTGAAGAGAAAATATGCTAATTGTGCAGAAAAGACTGTTCAGGAGCCTTTTCACATCTTTGAGTGCCCATTGTGCTTGCATGAAGCTATAGGGAAGAGATACAGACACAACAAAAAGCCATATGAATATTCAAAAACTTTTTGATCCAACCAAAATGGAAAAAGACAAAAAAACCCTTGAATATTGCTTAGCCTATAACTTAAAAATATATCTAAGTGCACAGTCCTGTAAACAGCTGTCTGAGACTGTGGGAAATAGGCAGGATGAAGGCCTGGAAAGAACCAGATCTTGGCAGCAAGTTTTGGGCAAAGCAGAGTACTGTGAAACTCATCACAGGGACAAGTTGCAACTCCGAAAGTCTGCCATGTCCCCAGGTGACAGGAGGCAGCCAATCAGATGCTACGGTTACAGTTTCTGCTTTATAAGGAATGTTTCCATGTTTGTGTTGGCTATAAAATCTGCGTCCTTTTAATAAAATGTCTCAGTTCTTCGCCCCCCCTGAGTCCAAGCCTCTCAAAACGCTACATGAGACAGAGAAAAACTTAAGTTGAAGGCCCATGAAATGTGTAGGTACAGACAATACACACAAATAAAACTACTGTTTTAATGCAGAATAAACTTTGAAGGACATCAGTAAAGGGCCTTCCAGTAGACAAAGGTCTAGGTATAAGACCATAAGAAGGCAGAAGTCAGTATAGTCTCAGGCCAAAAGAGCCCCCTCTTCTGCCCATGACAATGTCCAGTGCCAGATGTTTGGAGAAAGATATGGAAAGGACGAAGTAGGATCCTTCTCCCAACATACTTTTGCCCAGAAAGGACCTAATGATCCTTGAGGTCCCTTCCAACCTGTTATTCTATCATTCTACAACTCTGTGATCTTGTCCCATATCCTAGGAACCATCTTTTGAATACTTCCTGAGTGGGAAATCACATATTAAGGGCCCATGGTGGACCTCTTTCAAATGTGTCTAATCCGTGTCTATATTTATATTTTGTGTTTCATATGTCTTTCATAACTTAATTGCATGTGAGTTTTAACTTTCTGTATGGTAATTTCTCCTTGGATTTCTGCATCCCAGGGAGGGATGAGTCACTAAGTACAAGGTCCTTGACAGAATCCCATTTATAGTGTTGCAGATGCAATGAGATGGAGGTCATTTCCAGCTGGACTAGAGCAAGAAGTAATACATTTATCAAATGCTGAAAATTACATCTGTCATTGACTGGTTGGTCTTGGACCTTTTGTGGTCCTCACAGGTGAAGTGATAATGACTCCTCCTTTAACCTTATTTATGTTTCTGGCTCCTGTCAGTACTTTGTTTTCCCTAGCAAGATACTGTTTGACTGGAACTGCCAAAAAGCCACACTGGAGAAATCAATATCTTTATTTTTTAAAAATAAAAATACATTATTTAGATAAATAATTGTTTCAAAGTTTTGCTTTCCTAACAACTAGGGAGCATTATCCCTGTTTATCCAGTTGGATTCTTCCATGTTAGTTGTGTACCTATGTAACATTGAGTGCACCATAAATAACGTTATTCAGTCATTTTAGAAAATTATATTAATCCTTAAAAGTTTTTTTTGTGCAAATTTGCAGATCTAAAACCTTTTGAGTCCTGGGACTCCTTTGTGACTCCTTTGTCACTGTAAGATGACTTCCATAGGAAGCAAAGGGAAGAAATCAGACTTCCTACCATTTTCAAAGAACATTATGTTTTTCTGAGACTCTTTTAGAAGGCACCAGGACAGAAAATTTTGTTACAGTTCTTGCTTGCAACATTTCTTGTAGATTCAAAGCTGGTGTATAAAAGAGCACATTTGTGTTTTCTTGTAGGTCTTACCATACAGCCTGTGAGCTAGGACAGTTCAGGAAGTAAAATGTGATTGTCATTCTTGTTGCTAGGTAGTACAGCAACATCTGTACATCTGTAGGGGGCATGTCCTGGTCTGGGTTTGCTTTGTGGGGCTTTACAGTAATGCAGAGAGTGTTGTCTGAAAACATACTTAGTCGAGGCAAAAAATAGAACCCTTATAATTGCCATTTTCTAAGAAAGTACTGATAGAATTGCAGAGAACAGGAAGTCTTGAATATGCTTGAGTGTTAGGTTCTCTGCATGTTTTGTTCCTTGAAACAGAGATCTGACATTTCAAAGAAAAACAGTTCAAAATAGTAATGTTTTAGTTTGCTGATTCTTCGAGCAAAATTTTTCTGACCTGCTCTTGGAGTGTTTGTGTATCAGATGTAAGTCTTGTATTGAGATAAATTGATAATTATCAAGGATTCTTTACTGATTTTGGAAATGAAGTATTTTGAACCTAATTTTCCTATCCAGCTGAGGCACTAGGCAATGAGATCAGGGCTGAGGCTACAATAGGTCTAGGTCACTGTGCCATTTTCAGTGGATCTTCTGCAATTCCCAAACTTTCAGGAGGTCAGGGAAGTTTCTGAGACAGGGTGAGCTAAATTATAATTTGTCACCCGCAATAAAATCCCTGTGCAAAGCTATATTTAGAGATTGTGTAGTTGGTGACACACATACATATACATGTATATACAAACACAGACACAACATAATATTTCTTGAGCTGTAGAGTTGGAAGTGTTGTGATTGTTTTTAAAATCTCGTGTTCACCACAAGTATTCTTAGTAATTGAATTTTCCACCTCAAAGAAGGAAGAAAGTCTGTAGTCCCTATATCTGCCTTAGCTCAACTAAACATGAACAAAGATATGAATGAGGGGAGAGAGAAACCTGAGTTGGGATCAGAGAAGATAGGAAATTGGAAAGAGTTCTTAACATGCAGCAGACAGGTTGTATAGACTGTACAGACTTATTCAAAATAATTGAAACAATGAAACAACCAAGGAGCAACTTCAATGTCAGATTTCAGTCTAAATTGCATTGTCTTGTTCTTCTTTTGCAATTCCATTTTCAAGATTATGATCAGCAAACCCTTTATTTATTAGAAAATCCTACTTTCATTTTTAAGCTTGTATCTTACATAAACCTCAAGGAACTGGAAGGGCACATAGTTAACTCTTCCTGCCGGAATAGTCTCTGCTGACAACCTCAGGGACAATTTTGGAAATCAGGAACAGAGATGTTTCCCATCCTGCTTTAACAATACCATTGTGAGGTGGTATTACTGGGATTAGTCATAGCACGAAGTCTCCCATTCCACCCTGCTGGCATGAATCCATTCCAGCAAGAAACAGCTGATAGAGACAATAAAAACTGTTTAAAGGGGAAAACCTGAAGCCCTGTTATTTACTGATCCAGACATTACTTAGCCAGTAGATCATCTCCAGGAAAGTGAAAGAAAGGTGATGGGAATTTGAGGATAGCCAATGACAGGCCTAATTAACATAAAGGAAACACTTCTTATTCACAAGCAGGTTTTGTTTCCCATTAAAACTCGCAAAGAGGATGAAGCTAGTTCTTATACCCCTTTTTCAAGTGGAAAAAAAAAAGAAAGGTAGCAACATGAGGGCAAGACTGTGCAGCTACATCAGCAATTCTGTCTGGTAAATGGAAGTGAAGGAAGCTCCAAAGTGAGAGAAGCCTGCTATGGACAACATGCAATTGGTAGGTGATCAGGTTTGAGTATGGCTCCTCACCTTGGCAGCAGTGGCAACACTAAACTGCCCACACAAGAATGAGGTCAGGCTGACTGAAGGCAGAGTGAGGCTGAAAAGTTGTGGTGTACTTGTTGGTGTGTTTGGACACACTGAAGAACTGAGGAATAGCAACTGGTGCTATGATGCTCCTTCTCTAACAATAGCTGTTGTGCCATGAGGAATTGAGGAATATGGAAACAGGAAACTTGGTCCTGGTCTTTCCTGGTGTTACCATGAGTGGGCTGCTATCTGCTATCTGCTCTGCTAGTGTCTCACCTCAGGCTGCCAGCTGTTCCTGCTGTCAGGGCTAACCATGTACTCAGCTTGATGCAGTAGCTTTGCTTGAGGTCCGGTGTTAGAGGCTAAGAATTAAAGAACCTACAAGTATATTCTTTCACGTATCTGAAGCCTTCAGGCTCCCTAGCTTGGGTTTGTTTGCAATGCAAAACTGTTTCAACTTACAAGCACTCCTGACTTACTAAGAAGGCTGCAATGCAGTTATACAAGCTGAGCTTTCCCCCTGCTTCACAAGTCACACGAGTTTTAACCAGAAGAGCCAGAGCCACTGAGACCTCACACACCAAAAGTGGTCTTCAGGTGCTAAACCTGCTCAAACCCAGAGGTGCTGAAACCTGCTACCAGCGCTTGGCAGAAGGCGGGTTGCACCGTGGCGGTGTCCGAGAAGCGCATCTGAGGCGTGGGGACACGGGGGACACACGCGGGGTGGGGTGGGAGAAGGAAAACATCGCGCCTGCGGCTCGGTGCCAAGTTTCGCTTTTGCGAGAACGGAAAACGAAACGGAGCGGTTCCCCGCGCTCCGGCACAGCGGGGCGGGACGGGACGGGGAGGCTCTCACCGCACTCTTAAATGCGGAGCGCCGGGCACCTCGCCGCAGACTGCCAGCCCAGCCGGGTCGGATTGAACCGAACCGAGCCCAACCGAACCAACTCCGGTCGAAGCGTGCCCAGGCGACTCCAAGTGAACCGCAGCTCATCCCGCCGGGTCCAAGCCGAGCCGAGTTGAGCCGAGCCATGCACCTGGACATGCTGGGTCGGCTGCTGTCCATAGGACGGGCGGTGCTGGCGGCGCTGCGGGGGCGGCTGGGCGCGTTGTGCTGGAGCCTGACTCCTCTCTCCCTGTCCCTGTCCCTGCCCTTGCCCGGCTGGCGACAGGACTCACCCCCACGGCGGGAGCGAGAGCAGGAGTGGGACGACGCGTCCCCGACACCCACCAGTGTCAACTACCACTTCACTCGGCAGTGCAACTACAAGTGCGGCTTCTGCTTCCACACTGCCAAGACCTCTTTCGTGCTGCCCCTGGAGGAGGCCAAGCGGGGGCTGGCGATGCTCAAGGAGGCGGGTGAGTCCCAGGGAGGGGGTGCCGGCGGGAACCGGGGAGGGGAGACCCCGCAAGAGCAAGTGCCGTCGAAAAAGTTATCCCGGGAATGTTCCTGTACTTTTTCGTGGCGTTGCATGGGGAAGGAGAAGGTGACGGGCAGCAGAGGTTCATCATCTTTCTTTGGTCTTCTCTAGGAATGGAGAAAATAAATTTCTCGGGAGGAGAACCGTTTCTTCAGGACAGAGGCGAATTTGTAGGCAAACTGGTCCAATTTTGCAAGCAGGAGTTGGAGCTCCCAAGTGTCAGTATTGTTAGCAATGGCAGCCTGATCAGAGAGCGGTGGTTCAAGAAGTACGGTAAGAAGGAACTGCTGGGCACAGCAACACTGGCCAGGCTGGGGGGCCTTCGCGGAGCAGTCTCACCCACAGATGGATTTGGGGGCAAGTGGGAGATGTTTTTTTAGTGGTTTTACAAACCAAATGTAAATACCAGTGAAACAGTGTTGGTTATATTTTGTGAACATAGGCATTATACCAAAGGCCTCTTTGGTATAATGATGTAATAAAACAATAGCTCAGCCTGTCTCCATAATGCTGGGGACAGACACACTCAAATTATCTGTTTTGACACTGCTATTGCTCTGGCTTTTGCGGTTGATGGGATGACTCCACAAAACTATATCTACATGGCACTTCATTACAGATGATAAGGAAGTGAAAGTGGGTAATTTCTGACAGCTTTTAGCTGAGGGACTGGATATTAATCAATTTTTAAAACTTGTTCTCAGGTGAATATTTAGACATTCTGGCAATTTCATGTGATAGTTTTGATGAGGATGTCAACATTTTAATTGGCCGTGGTCAAGGAAAGAAGAACCATGTGGAAAATCTGCATAAACTGAGACAGTGGTGCCGAGAGTATGCTGTTGCTTTCAAAATAAATTCGGTGATCAACAGATTTAATGTTGAGGAAGATATGAATGAGCAGATCAAGGCACTCAACCCTGTGCGCTGGAAGGTGAGAAAGTAGTGTATACCATAGGTTTCTTGTTCAAAGAAAAGTAATAATGAGGTTTTGGAGTTCTCTGAATGTCTAATAACCTCAGTTGGATCTCCAGCTCGGGCTGGTGTTAGGGACCTTCTTGTCAATGTTGCATGGTGTTGAGATGGTTTCTGTCTCATTCTGCACTTAAATGGAGCCTAGTATGTCAAGAATCTTTTTTTGTTGTGATACGTACAGAAAATTACTATTTCAGTGTATGTAGATATGGGTATTTTATTATATTAAAATTAATATAGAAGGTCTTTAAGATTTGGAAATGTGTCATGGTGTAGAGAAAATGAAAAATCAGTATACAATGATACATTAGAGTCAATATATTGTTAGCAAGATATGTGTACATTAATGCTCTGTTACAGAGTATTAACAGTTAATGTACATATATTATCTTTTTTATTAGAATGCATTAAATACATCATGTTATCAGTTTGCAAATGGGTAGAGGTAATGTGGCATAAATATGAGAGAACTTGTGGAATAATTTCTCATTATATGCTTCATGGAAATTGTTATACACACAGAATTTCTCAGAAAAAAACCCAAACCAAACACTTTAAGTGAAATCTTGGTCCCACTAAAGAATAGTAATGAAAATGATAATTTAGAACATTTAGAACTCTGTAATGGTTAATTTGCTAAAAATAAATCTGCACCATGCTCTTTGTATAGTATTCAGTTATCACAATTTGTGTCAGTGTAGCCCCACTGACAGAAAAATTAAGATATTGCTACTGAGACAACTAAAGTTTTTTGTCATGGGGACAGACTCTTAACCTCAAGGCAAGTGAAAATGTAAAATCTTAACTAGGTGCCTTCTGTTTTCAGGTATTCCAGTGCCTGCTCATTGAAGGGGAGAACAGTGGTGAGGATGCCTTGAGAGAAGCAGAAAAATTTGTTATTAGTGATGAAGACTTTGAACGATTCCTGGATCGCCACAAAGATGTCTCCTGTTTGGTACCTGAATCTAATCAGAAGGTAAAAATTAAACTGTCCTTCTGTAACTTTATTTTCAAATAACGTTGGAAAATTGGAAAGGAACTAGAAACTTTCATGGCAATTAGTAGTTTCCCTACAAGTAGTGGCTTAGAAGAGGTACAGTACAACTTTATCAGCAACCGGTTTTGTTATGGTAGAAGCCAAGTTTTTTAGTGTTCTTTAAGGCTTTTTATTGACCATGAAGTTATTAGCAGAAAAATAAAAACCCATTGATCCCAATCCTGTGGAAACCACCACAGCACAATATCCTGAAAAAGTTCAAAGTTCATAAAAACACACTTTATATTCTAAGCATAGTTTCCCAATAGAGATTCCCCAGCTTAAATGATCACATTTGTTTTGAAAATGGCATAATCATTCCAGCATGCAAAACTGTAAGTTCTACTGCTGTAGAAATTAATAGAAAACTTGGATATTATTTAAACCACCTTTATCCAGTTGGGCAGCCACATTTAAATTAGGCACTGGAGAGGTCATATTTCAAGAATTACTAGTTTATTCATACATAAAGTTATTTTAGTAATTCTGTCATTTATTTCTATAAATTTGGTCCAAGCTCACTGAAATAGTGGTGATACAGTAACTGTTTCAAAGATTTGCATCTGACTTTGAATAGTTGTTTGCTTTGTCTTTCATTTTTCACTAGAATGGAATTTTAATTTGTAAATTAATTTCGGTTTTTTTTCTTTTGATCTATTACAGATGAGGGATTCATACCTCATTCTGGATGAATATGTAAGTCTTTGTTTCATACTTAGTATTTGTATGCTAATATATGTATGTATCAACAATGATAACCAATTCGATTTACTATGCATTCTATAAAACAATTTTACCATATAGTGCAAGGATTAGATGTGATTTCTTTCCATCAGACACAGTAAGAACTTTAATATAGTATGAGCTGAGGAGAACTTGCAATCAGGTTGCATGCATAATGATTACATCACAAATTTAAAGTGTAGATGTCTATTTCGGGAGGACATCTTCTCTTTTTTTCTTTAATTTAAAAATACCGAACTTGCCGTGAAAGTTAAGTTTCAAAGTGCCTACTTAGTTTACGTGTAACTGAAAAGTCAGTCTTCGGGAATTATGGTATAGCTTTGTTCCTGCTAAGGTGTACCATGTGTCTAACCATGAGCTTCTGAGATTTCTAAGGACTAGAGTGAAACTCTTCATGCACTTATATAGGCTTTTGTGGGATTGCAGTGCAGCTTGTTTAATTCTGTGGGAAAGTTAAGTTTTTGCAAATTGACTTTTTAATGTCTTATCTACTGATGTTCCAGATGCGTTTTCTAAACTGTAGAAATGGACGGAAAGAGCCTTCCAAGTCTATCCTAGATGTTGGTGTGGAAGCAGCTATAAAATTCAGTGGATTTGATGAGAAGATGTTCCTAACAAGAGGAGGAAAGTATGTGTGGAGTAAAGCCGACATGAAACTAGACTGGTAACTCAATATACTGAGTTAGGGCAGTGCATTATGTAAAGAAAATGTGTGTATATGATGAGTGTATACATGTATCTAATGCTTTTAACTACACTTGGTATATTATACAGACTGATGTTCAGTATAACTCTATATGTGAATGTGCTTTTTAAATGCAGATTATGTACTTTTATTTTATTGAGCATGACTTAATACTTTCAGAGCTTTCATATGAACAGATGTCTGAAATAAACTTTCTAATCCATTTTATGAAGGACTTAAGGGCAAACTGTTAACATAACGTCATGCAGTAAATGTTTTTAAAATACTACGAGTGTGCATGCCAGATAAATCAAACCCCACCCCAATCTCTACTTCATTACAAAGAGCTGTAAGGATGGAGAAGTTAAAACTCTTATCGGTGAATGCATTCTGCCTGTTTCTCAGGGAAAGGTGGATTGTAGTTCCTCTGTAGATCACAAGAGGGCCAGCTGGCAGGCCACTGGAAGCACGATCTGCCTTTTTCGGGGGTAATAGAGGGTCAGAATCTAGGAATCATTATCTGTAATAATGTATTTAAAAGAAAATCAAGATGAAAAACGTGGCGATTCTCATTTTTTAACACTTAACTGTAAAAGTATCTGGTTTTATTCTCCCTCTCCTCCATATGCACACACAACATTTGCAAAAATGTTGGGGGATGTAAATTTCTGTAAAAACATATTTTTTAGTCATGAAAGAATATTGTATTTGTCCATCCTAAAACCTAGAAGCACGTTCTATCTAATGATAAACAACTTCTCATTTCACATTGGCAATGGCCTTAGTTCTAACTAATATTTACAGTGAGAATGTTTGCATTTTATTAATTCCTCCATTTTCCTTTTATCTGCAAATATTGATTTATTATTTTTAGTTTTTTTTCTCTCTGCATGCATACAGTTCTGATGAAGATTCCTTCTCAATTAATACTATGTAGCACAACCTAACATGAATCTTCTGTTGCATAGTGGCTTTTTATTTTGCTAAGCCATGGAATTACAAACAGAAAAGTTCATATATCATGTAACCTTGCTTTAAAGGTTGCTTGGTTTAGTAATTAATTATCTTGCTGGTTGCAAACCTGCAGATATTAAATTAAATTAATTGGTTTTTTTGATAGCTGCCTTTGATTAAGAGCTTGCAGCATCAATATAAAATAAACAAAAAAAATGAAAAAAAACCCAAAATAATCAAGTATACTACCCTCATTCTTGGGTTTCTGGCAATTTTTATGGCTTTGTAATTGCAGCTTTTCACATTTAACCAGTCCCATCCTCCTCCTGTTTGAAGGGAATGGGGATAAGCATTGCAGAGAGCAGAAGTGAGCTGGCACTACTCATTCATCCTCTCTGTTGAAAGTCTGGACTGTCTCACACTTCTAAATATTTGCAGCAGTTGGGAGTCAGCATGCATTAAATGTATCACATACAGAAAATGACACCTTCTTTCCTTTTTTTTTTGGTAATGTTAGGTGATTTTTTTTGAAGAGGTTTTTGAGAGAAATATTTTACATTCACCTACTGCATCTTCAAAGTTGAAGGGAAAAGCGCTTAAGTAGGAGCTGCTACTTCTGTGCACCTCCAAATACATTGTAAAAATATTTCCATTTATAATTCCTTCAGTTTCTATTTTTACTATCCTGACTGTAAGTATACTCAGTGGTGCTCTTTTGTCTCTATGTATTTTGCATTTTGCAATCACAACACTTCCTAGAAACATTTTAGTCTTTTTTTTCCCCCTTGTACTAATACTAAGTGGCATTTAAAATGTGACCCACACACATTAACCCCACAGTCTTTTGGCAGCTGTTTCACTGACCTCAGTTGGAGTTCTGCCTGAGTAGCAACTACGGACAGTGCAAATTTATGTAACTGGGGTTTGACTTCCTCTGCGTTCCCACTGCTCAAATGTTAAATCCAGCCTCTTCCTCAGCACCTACGCTGCATGATAGAAAAGGAGCATTTTCCTTTGCTGCTGGCTCAGTCCCAGCATGGGGAAAGATTTAGTGCATCAATGTACCAGTAAATCTACCAGCTTGCAGCTTCTGTAGGAAATGCCAGCTGAGCACAGCACGCAGACGTGAGGTACACAAACTCCCCTTCGGACCCAAAAATTCTGCCATTCTTTGCTTTGCATCTTACCCTGTAAATGGTTATTCCTTTGCTTCCTCTGTGCCTACAGAGGAAGATGCAGGAGAAACAAAATGGAGCTGAAAATGTCAAAATCCAGTAAATCACGTAAAGACATTGAAGATGGCTTTTATCAGAAGGTTCTAAGTTCTTATCTTCTTAAAAGGGTTAAGGATTTTACATCACCTCTTGCTACCACATATAATTAAGAAAAAGGTTTCTGCTCTGTGTGATACTCTTTTTCAAAGGAAATACCAGTTGTGTACATTGGAAATGAAGAATCTGACATTATACAATTCAATGAAAAGTCATTTAAGTTGATGAATAACTCGGTATTTTTATACGCAAAATTCATTGTTGTGTAAAACATTGGTTTTTTTCCTACAGCTTGATTAATCTAGTTTTTTTGGGGGGGATTTAGTTTATAAACACAGTTCATACTGGACCAAAAATAGACTTTAGGCTTTCATTATGTAGTTAGGCCTAAATTTCAGCACAGGACTAGAAAAACAAAACTGAATTCAGTAGGGCTACTCCCAGGCTTAGCAATTACAGGTACATCTTGACCCTGAAGAGTCAGGATTTAAATCTTTTGAGTCTTGTAAACACAGACATGCTCAATTGTATTTTCATGTGCAATCTCATGGTATTGCAGCTAAGGACTTGCTTAAGATGCTGAATTGGGAAGGAACTGACACTGTAGTGTAGTAGTGTACTAGCATTACAGAGCTGTTCCTATTTGTAAAAAATTTGTAGAGAATGTTTGGGGAACTAACTTCTGATAAAGTTATGACTTTACCTTGGGTAATGAGTAAAACTGTCACTTAACATGCACTTTAGGATGCCCTCTTTTTCAGTGAGAAGGATGCTGTTATCTTTGAATGTTACAAAAGATGAATTTTGTAATAATGCTGTCAAATATTTAGCACTAAGTATTTCACATGAGTATGTTGCACATTTCAATAAAAGTTTCTATTTTCTTAAGTTCGGTTGTTTTGGGGTTTTTCTGGTTTGTTTTTTTTTTTTGTTTGTTTGTTTTTTTTTTTTTGTAATGTAACCCATACTCGCAGAATGTATGTCTGCATTCACAAGAGATCTGTAATTCAGGATGCAGGCCGTATTTAGCAGGGGGCCGCTTGCACAGTGCCAAGGACAGCATCTAGGCTGAAATGGAGGACAATAGTGGTGATTTGCCCTGTGATGAAAGGCGTTTGTTACAAGCCTGAGTGGACTGAGCTGTGCTGGGAAGAAGACAGTTCAAATACCTTGTGCTGTTTGGATGACAGCCGCTACGAAAGACACAGCCACCCATAAATATCTGAGGACAAAAAAAGATTATCTTCTGTCATGGTAAATAAGAGAGAAAAGCCAGTCTATTTAGAAGACCGAAAAGAAGCAGCTTCTCAAGCTCATCTCCCCTCCCGAGGCTCAGTGCAAACTCTGGTACCAGACAACGCGAAATCGAGCTTTTCACAGTATTTTGGCTGGGTTTGAAGGGAGGCTTAGTCTTTTACCCCTCACTTTGCCTTTTTTTTTTTTGTTCTCTGCACAATGAGGTGGGGCGAGGGTGCCCAGGAGCAACACCGCAGCGAGATGCTGTGTGTGTCACCCCCGGGGCTGCTGTGCTCTGTATGTGTGTGTCTTACCTGGGGCTGCTGTGTTTTGTGTGTGTCACCCCCGAGGCCGCTGTGCTGTGCGTGTGTGATCCCCGGGGTTGTTGCCGGGCTCTGTCACCCCCGCCGCGACCCGGGCGAGGGCTGAGCCGCGCCGCGGTGAATCCACCAGGCATCTCCCGTTCGCCTCCCAGCTCTGTGCGGCTCCTACCGTGCCTGTCGGAGGAGCACCGGCCCTTGGTCCATTCATGCACCAAAAACAGGGAAGGATGGACAGCGCTCGCAGCACACCCCTGCCCCGTCATAGTTCCCATGCTTTTCCCTCCTTCCTTCTCCGGCAGGTGGGACAAACCCCCCGCCCCTTCTGCACCACAAGCCGCCGTTGCTCTCTCCGGCCGCCGAAGGACCTGCTGGGCCGGGGCCGTCACGCTCGGGCAACCCGAGGTAATATTCCTTACAGCAGACTAAAAACCCCACAGTAAAACCTCTGGCAGGGCTCGGCACGGCGGGGCTCGGCACGGCGCCCTCAGCCCGCCTGGCGCTGCCAAGCAGGAAATCCCTGGATCCCCGCGCCCGCCGCCGCCGCCAGGGGGCGCCGCTGTGACTGGCGTAGCGCGGCCGCTTCAAAGCGGGCGGTGGCGGGAGGCGGTGGTTTAATGGCGCCCGCCCCGCCGCGGGCGCGCCCGCCCTCGCCCGCCCTCCTCCTCCGCCCCCGCCGCAGAAAAGCCCGGGAGCGGCACCCGCCGCGCACACTCCGGCTCCGCGGGGGGTGGAGACCATGGGTGGGGCGGCGGCGCCCTGCTGCGGCTCCGCGGGATAGCGCGGGACAGCGCCGCGCACCGCCCGCGGGCCGACCCGCGCCGGCAGCGGCACGGTAAGGGCGGGCGGGGGAGCCGGCGCGGCGGGAGTGGGGCGCCCGGCTGGGGTGGGAGAGCCTCCCGGGGCAGCAGGGGCACCTCCCGGGGCGGTGGGGGTGCTGTCGTTCTCCCCGGCGGGGCGGCTGGAGGCGGTGCCGGACCGCGCAGGGCACCCCCGGCCCCTTACGTAAAGGGCTGTGCTGGGCGCTCCCCGCGGCGGGGGTGCCGCAGGCAGCGGCGGCGTTATCCCGCTCTCGGAGCCCCTGGGCGGTGTGTGGGGAGCGGCGCCTGGCCGCGGGCAGGGCATGGCGGGGCGCGGGCTGCTGGCGGAGCGCTGCGGAGGGTTCGCAGTGACAGCGGCTCCGCGGAGCCCCGTGTGCTCTTCCCGGTGGTTTCCGTAAAGGAGGTGAAGCGTCTCGGAAGAGCTCCGCGCCCTGGACCGCGGTGGCCGCTCTTGCGGGGAGCAGGAAATTAAGTATAGGGGTGTGTGAAGTGCCATGCCCTGCCGGTGTTCTCGGATACAAGCGAGGTGTGCGGCGTGGGGAGAAATCGGTTCGTTTGGGTTTCAGGGGTGGAAAAAGTAGGAGTAAGTCTCGCTTTTTCCTTCTCTCGCTGAGCTGTGATGTTACCGTTGACTTTTTTGAGGTGTTGGAAGTAACCATAGGTACGATAATGAGGTTGCCTCCCACGCCCTGGATTGCCAATGTCCTTTTGAATCAAGGGTATATTGTTCCTGAAAAGATCAGGCCCTGCATCATGTGTTTATGGCTTCTATAGAACTGGAACAGGGAGTGTCAACGGGGCAGGCTGATGGAAGAAGATACAAGCTGTTTGTATTTTTGCTGTATTCTTGGAAATACTGTCGCTTCTGCACTGGAACATAATATTCCCTGTTCTGCAACAGACATAAATGATGATTTATAAATAGATCCGTTTGTTTATATTGTTCCCCGTGTAGCCAAACAACTGTTTACATTGTGAAATGGCTTGCTTCATTTCACATTAGCTTATCAGTGCTGACCCAGGAGTGGCTACAGCTGAAGCTGCATGTTCTTGGGCAGAGTGCTACCGGAGAGATTACATCAGTAGTTTAAACTTCTGGTGGCCTGACCTAGTGTGTGCTTCTCTTACAAGCATCAGATGTAGTGAAGGGGTGGTTTGGGGTGGGGGGGAGGGGTGTCCTGAGGGGCAGACTTGTGCATTTAAAGAAAATGCTTTGTTTATACTTGGAAGGGACTTCACAGTGTGGGAGAACTTAAATTGCTTTTTCCTGGTAGTGGGGCATCAGTCAAAGTGACCTGACTTGAAGTTTGTTAAATGCCCAAAAGAAACAAGATCAAGTGAGAAGAATGGTGATGGGAGAGAGAAATAATTCCTTTTGTTTAGGAGTTGCTTGAAAAAGACAGGATTTCCCCCACCCCCGCCCTCGGGAAGAAGTTTTATTTCTTTACTCCCCTCCCCCTTTCCCTGGCTATCATGTCTCATTATCCTCTTGAGCAATCTGTGTATTATGAGGGGGGGAAACTGTGATTGAAATACTAGTACAATGATGGGTGTTTGTTTGATAAAACTACTTTGAATGAGCCATCCTTTATGTAAAGCAGAGTTAACTTCTAAATCTCCTTAATTCATATTGTAGGACCTGCTAGATAAAATCATGTGTTTATTATCTGCAGTTATTGAAGATTTTTGCCCTTGAATCACAGTATTATGTTATCTTCACTTACTGTCTGAATTTTGCTTATTTTAGTATTTTAAGGCAGTAATTTGTTGAGGAGAAAAAGACTATATTTGCTTAACTCCTCTTGCTTCTAATGTGTTGCTCTTGTTTTTTTAC